CCCCCCAGCCTGACCGCTCCTGACTAGAAGAGAGCCATTTAGGGGAAAGAGAAAACGAAAGCGCGGCGGCTCCCTGGATCCGCCCACTTCCCACGAGCGCGCCCACACTGTTTGGGAGAGGACTTGGGAATCAGATCTGAGGTTGTGGGGAGCAGCCGTCGTGCTCCACCTTCTCCATCACGCACACCGGCCCCTTCGCCTTCCCTTGCCCCCTCCTGCGGGACCCATTGTGGAGACTTCCCCGCCCCTGGCTCAGGGCGGGCTCTGTGGTCACCTGTCTCCGGGCAGATCTGCCCCAGGCAGGTTAGCGCCAGGGCGCGCAGCCTCGCCGAGTGGACACGGGCGCCCCCTGGCTGCGGACCTGCCCGGGGCCGGAGAAGTGCTCACTGGGGTAATGAGTCTGGGCGTGGGGTTAGCAGAAGGGGGGGCGGGAGGGGCGCCTGGGGAGCTGGAAGCACCCAGGAGTGAAGCGGGGACCAACCTGGGTGCGAAGGCAGCGCGTAGTCCCCAGTGCCCCAGTCCGCGCAGGGAACACGCAGCGTTTCTATTCCGAGGGGGGTCATAGGGGCCCGTGAAGGGACTGCGCCCGCGAGGCTGGTGGAGAAGGGGGTGCTTTGGCTCCTAGCTGGAAGCGTCAAGGGGAAGCTGCTCTAAAGCGCTTTCGCTTTCACTCTGGACTAGAGAGGGGGCTGGTTAAATCTAGGGAAGGGGTTGGAGAAGGTGCAGAGGGTTCAGGGAATGCGCCCTGGGTGGAACGTGGCAGCGTTTGGGAGCGGGGAGCAAGCACTGATTGAGAAGGGCCGGCGCATCCTCAGACATGGATGGACTGGCACCTGGCTAATCAGGGCCCCAGCGCTGATAGCGAGGTCCCCGGGGCCCGGGGGGCCCTTCCCCAGCCTTCCCCGGGAGGGCTCCCGCTTGGCCCGGGGCTGCGCAGCTCCCCTCGGCGCCCACTCCCACGCACGTGCTGGGGGACTTTGCCCCGGGTGGGGGTGGGGGGTGGCAGCCCAAGACTGGCTGGCTTCTGATCCCAGACCGCTCCACCACTCGCGGCTTGCGGGCACGCAGCTTCGGACGCCCAGTAACCCAGAAGGGGTGGTGGCCCCTGGGCCCTGGCCCTCTTCATGGGGGAATCGCCAGGGCAGGTCCGGGGGGCGGGGGGGGCAGCGCGGTGAGAAAGAGCAGGGAAACCACTTCTAGGTTAGAAACCTCCCCCCCTCGCTGCGGGACCAGGCGCAGAAAGCAGGAAGCAAAAGCCAAACATGGGTGGCTGTTAGGCCTGCGTTTTAGTCCCGGGTCTACCACTCATTGTGTGACCTTGGGCAAGTCACTCGCCTGTTCCATGACTCAGTTTCTCACTTGAACCAGGGATCTTTAAGGCCTTTTCAAACTCAACAGCAGTAGAAAACGGGTAGCTTTACTCTCCTTCACGCTTCCTTCATTTCTTTTCTTGAGCTGGAAGTCAGCTCAAGCTCCAATCAGATCCTCTCTCTGTGCAGATCTCCCCCCTGACTCCTGAGATGCCGTTCTCTGTACCTCCTTCCTGCTCAGAAATCCCTGAATGAAGTCTTTTCTCACCCACCTTGTGTTCCTTGCTGCTTTCCTCCTTCCTTGAAACTGGCCCTGCTGACCATCCCCCCCCTCCCCCCCCCAGATTTCCCCGAGTGAGAGCTCGCTTCTGATGAAGGAAGTGTTGAGTGGAGGATTCTGGGCCCAAATCCTGGCAGCTTGCTCTGTCAGGTCTCTCACACCTGCGCACAAGCACATGTGATGGAGACTGCAATTCACTTGGGCCAAACTTCTGCCTTAGTAGGAGCTTCGCCCCCACGTCTCTCTTCACAGTGGAAAGAACCCCACACGGAAGGTTGGGGCTTACGCTGTGGTGCCTGCACCGCCTGTGCTGTCCCACGGCCCGCTGTGGTGTTCCCTTGCAGCCAGGAGAGACAATGGAAGGACGGAGTGGGCTCCGGCCTGAATTCCTGGGTGACCCTGAGCTAGTCCCCTCCCTCTCTGGGGATGTTTCCTCTCCTCTGACAAGAGGGGATCAAGGCTCCTCCTGCTCTGACATTCTCTGCTCTCTCTCTGCAGACAACCATCATGGCGGTAGAGTTTGATGGGGGCGTGGTGGTGGGTTCTGACTCCCGGGTGTCCGCAGGGTAAGTATCCGTGAAGGTATAAGCTTTGGAAGGAAGTGAATGTCCCCAAATACACGTTTCTTACCCATTCGTGAAAAGCCTGGTGAACTGAGCTTTGGAGAAATGGAGTTAGCCTCAGAAAGGTGCTATAAGATACTGGGTGGTACTTGGGTCTCCGAATTCATGGGGCCTGAATGCTCCAGCCTGTCCCTGGAAGGAGCAGGGTCTGAGAAGGGGACAGAGATAGAGATTTGAGAGAAAAGATGGGTCTGAAAAACAGGTGTCTTGGTTCTCACCTATCGCGTGTTGGACTAATTTTGTCTTTCTCCCTCCTGGCCAGTTCCCTCAGATGCAAAATGAACCTATGGGGCTAGATCCACATTATGTTATGTTCCATAGAACACATAACTTCCTCAAGATGGTTAATAGCAAACAAAAACATGGATAAAAGTAACATCATTCTTAGCTTACTGTTTATTTTATTATAAAATCTCAGCCTGAAATCAGTGTGATGCTGATTACTTGCAGTGTTTCATTTCGTTGAGATTATTCTTGCTTCCTGCTTTAATCCAACATTAAATTTCACGAGCTGTTCTCTCATCAAATGAGTCTGAGAAACACGGGATGATTAACCTCAAAAGTTCCTGCCACTCTGCCGCCGCTAACTGCTGCCTCCTCCCACAGGCAGGCTGTGGTGAACCGGGTGTTTGACAAGCTGGCCCCCTTACACCAGCGCATCTACTGCGCTCTCTCCGGCTCGGCTGCCGATGCCCAGGCCGTGGCCGACATGGCTGCCTACCAGCTGGAGCTCCATGGGTAAGACGCTTTGGGTCCTCACACTTCAGCCCCCGAGCCCCCGGGACGGCCCTGCTCCAGGAGCACCGCCGTGGAAAACAAAAGCTTCTGGTTTGAACCGCGGCTTTTATTAGCTTTCACCGGGCCTGGGTCTCTCCACGCTGGTTTCCATGCCTGTAGGGTTATTTTGAGAATCAAATTATACCTGTGAAGGCAGTTTGAGGACTGTAAGTCCCTCTCCTAATGTAAATACTGAGGAAGAAAAGGATGAGGTGGCCCATGGACCCGTCACCCTGTGGGGAACCAAGGTCATTGGCAGAAGTGAGGCTTATCTGCTTTCACCCACACAGGCAGGTTGTGTCACTGGGGAGTGGCAGGTGAGAGCAAAGGAGGGGCGATGGAGGTGTGAGACTCGGGCTCCTGCTGCCGGGAGGGGAGCTGGAGTTTGCCCTCTGGCAGCTCTGGGTTTCAGGAGGCACTTGGCAGGGATGGTGGTGATGGCGCACGAGGGTGGAACTTCAGGAGATTGTATTGACCCCCTTCCTAACGTTTCCTTCAGGATGGAACTGGAAGAACCTCCCCTCGTTCTGGCTGCTGCAAACGTGGTGAGAAATATTAGCTACAAATACCGGGAGGAACTGTCTGCTCACCTCATGGTAGCCGGCTGGGACCAACGTGAAGGGGGCCAGGTGAGTCGCTCCCAATGCACTCCTCCCTTGGGGTCCCCCAGTCCCCTGGAGAGGAAGCTGGTGGTCTGTCCTTCTAGCAGTGTGTTCCCTGAAAGCACAGGGCAGTCTCCTCCAACGGGGGTCAGAGATGCCGGGCCTTCACTGCAGAGCCTGGAGGCCACCTGCTTGTCCGGCGGCAAGAAGGGAATTGGTGCTTCTTTGGTCTGACTTGAGGGCATCCCCCACCCCCACAGGTGTACGGAACCCTGGGAGGAATGCTGACTCGACAGCCCTTTGCCATCGGTGGCTCTGGCAGCACCTACATCTACGGTTATGTGGACGCAGCGTATAAGAGCGGCATGTCCCCTGAGGAGTGCAGGCGCTTCACCACGGAGGGTAATTGGCCAAGGGCAAGGCGCCAGGAGGGCTTCTTACCTGGGAAGGGTGTAGAGTAAGGGAACAGGAAGCAGAGGACGTGGGTGACCATTTAGTTTAGTATCCAAACTGGGACACTTTGAGAGTGAAAGGGGGCAGGACAAATGCTGAACTAGATGGGACTTCAGGACAAAAGGCATGAGCCAGGACTGTTCTGAGAAGAGCACACTAAGAAACGTGGCGCGTAAGAACCAGTGGTGAGCTGGAGCTGGCTCGGGCTAGCTCACGAGAGCCAACTGGTAAACAGTTGAGGATTTAGGAGCTGCTGTTAAGCTATTTACAACGTGACATGGAGTATTAAGACCATGGACATTGGAAGGTGTGCCATGTAAAGGGCATGTTTTTTTTTTTACTTTTAAGTTGGTTGCTAGCACACCACTAAGTCTACCTCTCTAGGAGATGGGCCTGGAGTTGGAAGGTGGTCGTAGGCTTGTGGGTGGAAGGGAAGGAAATGATTTTTGAACACCCACGGACGTGCAGGTCAT